TAGCTCCCCCGTTCCCCTAAATAATACTCCCCGTATGTGCTTCTACTATTTTATGACTTGCGGGGATGGTTAGTTCGTGTTTGGAAGGGTTCTGGTTGAAATCGGAACACTTAGTTCCTTAATAATGGCTTAAATGGATAAGTTTGACTTGGGTTAACATTTTAAGTAAACGACCCCGAAATCGGGATTCGAAGGTTCCAATAGGTTTGTATGATAATTTTGGACTTGGGCGTATTTTCGGATTCGGATTCAGATAACCCGGGAGCGTTTCGGCGCATAAAGTTAAAAGTTGGCACATTAAAAAATTTCAAGTTCTTTAAATTTGGTTTGAAGTTGGTTTTGGTGTTATCGAAATTTGTTTGGAATTCCGAGCCTAGGAATAGTTCCGTATGGTGATTTATGACTTGTACGCAAAATTTGGTGTCGTTCCAGGTAGTTTAAGTATGATTCAGCATATTCGGAGTAAGTTGGAAGAACTTGAAGTTTAAAAGTTGATTTGATTTGGTTTGGGATGCAATTCTTAGTTTTGATGCTGTTTTACGTGTTCTGAGGAGTGGAGCGAGTTCGTTTTATGATTATGAACTTGTTGGTATGTTTGGTCGAGGCCCCGTAGCCCCCGTGTAGAATTCGGAGGGTCGACGGAGCTTGATTGCTCTTTGGAGAAGAGCTGAAAGGGCTGTAATCTGGTGCGTTCGCACCTGCGATGGGGATGGCCGTAGGAGCGACACCGCAGGTGTGATGTATTGTTCACAGAAACGAAATTTAGGGGAGCCAGCAAGGTCTACAGAAGCGAAACATTTCTGCAGAAGCGAACTCGCTTCTACGATGGAGGGTCCGCAGGTAAGGAGAGAGGTAGCATGACAAGGGTCGCAGGTGCGCAAGGTGAACCGCAAAAGCGGGCTCGTAGAGGCGGGACTTGGCCGCAGGTGCGAACAGTCATGGGTCGCGCGTGTTCCGCAGACGCGGACAAGCGACCGCGGGAGCGGCCCCGCAGAAGCGATGATTCTTCCGCAAGTGCGAAAATCGCTGGGGGAGTGAGGGCTTTTAATGTTAGAACTTAGGCTATTTTGGTTCATTTATTTCACTTCTTGGACGATTTTAGAGCTCTTTGAAGAGGGGTTTTCACCTAACTATTGAAGGTAAGTAATTCCTACCCAATGTGAGTTTAATACATAGATTTTGGGTAGATTTTAACATATAAAATTGTGAAAATTTTGGGTTTAGTTGAAAAATCTAGGTTTTGATAAAAATGGGATATAACCACGAAAATGATTATGGAATTGGGTAAAAATTATATATTTGAGTTCGTGAGGATATGGGTAACATTTATCTTCAAAAATTTTCGAAATTCGGGCACGTGGGCCCAGAAGTGAATTTGTAAGAATCTTCCAAATTAGGTTGGGTAATTACTCTAATAGCTAAATTATGAATTTGTGAGTGTATATTGATTGATTTATATAATATTTGGCTAGCTTCAGATTGTTCAGCGCCAAGTTGAGACTTTAGAGTAAATTTGTGGGCCGGAAAATGAGCTTCGAGATGAGGTAAGTCTCTTGCCTAAAGTTGTAAGTGAGAATTTATCCCATAGGTATTTTAAATCATTATTTGCTTCTAATTGTGGGGCGCTACACACGCACGAGGTAATGAGAGTCCGTGCGTAGCTACTAATCATGCATAAGTCCGGGTAGTTTTAGGACCCAAATCATGAAATACTTGTTAATTTAAGTGCCTAAATTATATTGAAACTTGATTAAATATTCGTAAAGGCCGAATTTCACTTACTTAAAGTTTTGGCAGGTTACTTGACCGTTAGTAGAAATTATGCTTCCTTGTGTATTAGTCTTGTGATAACTCTTAAATCGAATGTTCATAGAGTATTCTCTCTTCTTGTGGAGCGGGTCGAACGCCTCAGCAGTATAATAGATGCATCTATGGTTCGTGTCGTTCACCCTCGGCAGTGTACACATTATTCTAGATCGGGTCGTACGACCTCGACATAAATCGTGCGTGATAATGCTTGGAGCCCGAATACACTTGATATTATTTTGATGACTTGAGAGGTTATAATTTATTTAATGGCCTGAAATTCTTGAAGTTAGCATGTGTCGATTGGAGACTTTTAAATTGAGTATTAGTTAAAGAACCATTTATTCATTGCTGGTTATTGTGTTGTTATTATTATTATTCATGTATTCTATGCCTATTTAGAATTTCTGTGTTTTTATTATTGGCCCGTAATAAGTGTCGATGTCGACCCCTCGTCACTACTCTCTTCGAGGTTAGACTGGATACTTACTGGGTACATGTTATTTATGTACTCGCGCTACACTTCTGCACTAATCGTGCAGGATCTGAGGCAGGTGCATCTGGCAGTCATTCAGGCGCGCACCCCCGTTACCCCGAGGCATAGTGGTGAGCTGCTTTTTAAGCCCGTTCTGCAGCACCTGCAGTCTCTCGTCTCTCTTTTGTATTTACTTTCTATCTATCTCATTTCAGACAGTAGCATAGGTGTTTTGTATATTCTACAAGTTGCCCATACACTTATGACACCGGGTCTTGGGAACATGCTAGTAGACACTTTATGGTTTTTAGCATATTTCAGTGTATTTGCTCTCTCATTAGTTTACGCTTTACCTTATTAAATTTTTCACTTTTCATTTACTTAATAACTAAAAATCAACTACTTTGAAATTAATAAAAGAAATAAATACATGGCTAGTTCACTGTTGGCTTGCCTAGCAACGACGTTGAGTGCCATCATGGCTTATAGGAAAAATTGAATCGTGACAAGTCTGAGACCGCTACTTTTCGTATCTAAATTAAAAAAATTATTTCACGCCCGCAGCCATTTAAGGGCAAAGGGATTACCAATTCTTTTTTACTTTTTCCTTAGTGATTATCAACTTTCTCCAACGAAGAAAGTTGGTTCCCTGCATATTTATTATTAATTGTGTTTCGAGTTCTTTGAAGTGAAAATGTCTAATATTTTCATACTGTCAAATTAAGTTACGAGCAATAAGAGGTAACGGTTTATAACAAATAAAATCTAGTAATTTGAAAAATAGAATAAATTACTTGCTATAATAAGTTAAATTACACTCATAACTTTTTACACAATCAATATATATAATTTAAATTTATTATTATTTAATCAAGAAATTAACTTACAGAGCATTAGGTAAGTTATAACTAATTTCACATGATTACCGATTTGACAAAGGTGGGTTGCTCTGATGGTAAGCACCATCCACTTCCAACCAAGAGGTTGTGAGTTCGAGTCACCCCAAGAGCAAGGTGGGGAGTTCTTGGAGGGTACGATGCCGAGTTTCTATTGGAAACATCCTCTCTACCTCAGGGTAGGGGTAAGGTCTGCGTACACACTACCCTCCCCAGACCAGGTCTGCGTACACACTACCCACACACTACCCTCCCCAGACCCCACTAGTGGAATTATACTGGGTTGTTGTTGTTGTTGTTTTGTTCTTGAGTATATTGCATAAGAAGAAAATTGATACAACCAGATTTATTGAAATAATGAAATCTAATGTGCTCAAATAAATAAGACAATAATTTGCTACGATTAATTTTCTTTAAGTTATTGTTGATCACGCACTGCGCCATTCAAATGTGTCATTCCGCGGTGGTTAAAAGTCACTTCGCGCCAAAAAGAAAAGTAACAAAAATTGATAATTTTAGATATTGATAATTTAAAAAGAAAAATAATTTACCATAAAAGGAGTACGAAAAGGAATATGTATATATATGAGTTTTTGTTTCTGAATGCACTACTTAAATTCAAAGTAACTTTTTTCTTGAAAAATTATAAAAATAAATTTTTTTTTTTTTTCGGTGTCTCGTCCGATATCAGGTTCTTCATTGGGGTTCGAATAAATCCGGATTCGCTCCGTGATATCCCACATTGGAGGTAAAGCGCTCCCTAACAAAGGCGACTCAATACCCATGCTCGAATCCGAGACATCTGGTTAAGAATGAAGAAATACTTATCACTCCACTACAACTCTCGTTGGTTAAAGTAAAAGTTAAAACTCCTATTTTCATATCTTCAGATTATGTGTTATCGAAAATATAATGAGATAACAAATTGATATACTAATAATAGTTTAGTTCAGATTCAGAGTTATCCCTTTTTGTTATCAAAGCTAGTCCAGTATCTAAGACCGCAACTTTTCATATATATAATTAAAAAACTTACTCAACACGCGATCCACAACGGCAGCCATTATCAACTTCCTTTTTTTTCGTTAGAGATTAATCAACTTTTTCCTAAATTCCCTTCATATTTATTATTGTGTTTGAGTTCTGTGCGGTAAAGTGTCTAATGTTTTACAAATATCAAATTAAGTTACATGCAATAATAGGTAACTGTTCATAAGTTATAACAAATACAATCTAGTAATTTGAGAAATAGAGTAAATAATAAGTTAAATTACACTGATATTTTTTTTACACAATCAATGTATATAATTTAAATATTTATTATTATTTAATCGAGATATTAACTTACGAAATTTTTCTTATTAATTATAAAATTAATTCTACTAGCCAAAGTTGCCAATAAATGAATCGAGTTATGCCTGGCGTAGGAGTTGCAAAGTAGTTAAAATTTCACTTTGCATTAAATTCGTAAAAAAAGTTAAATTCCATAAAAAGGAAAAGTAAACAAGATAGATATTACCCTACGTTATTATAAGTGATTTTAGAAAAGATTGTTTTGCAACAAACATATCTATTACCATAAACATATCTCCTACGTGAAAAATATTAATAATTGCACAGTTTAAACAAGAAACAAAATTCAAAAAATGACTTCTGTTCCAGTTAAAACTCTACCGATATCTATAGATTCAATGCTATCCTAACAATAAGATAAAAATTGTATAAGGAGTTTGAAAAGAAAGAAACTCTTTAGGATATATATCAGTAAAAAATATTTACCCAGTACATCAGCTATATATTTCACGGTACGTTATCAATCGATTACTTCACTCTTCTTAGAGCTAAAAGATAAAAAAAAATGGCAGGGGGTGGAATTGGACCATCAAATGGCAAAGAATACCCTGGAAAACTCACAACTAAAGTTCTCATTACTTGTATTGTTGCTGCATGTGGTGGTTTAATCTTTGGTTATGACATTGGAATTTCAGGTTATTTAATATAGTTCTAAACTTTTTCTTTTTTCATTTCATATAGTTATCTTTTGCTAGGGATTTAGAAAAGGGGAGTCTGTGACCATAAGGGTACAAGCCGTGAAAACAAAATCTTGCAGAAATGCAGCCTAGGCTGCGTACGATAAATCTTTTGTGGTTCGGGCGCTTCTCCGGATCTCGCGCATAGCAGTAGTTTTGTGCATCGTATCAGGCTGCCATGGTATTTGCTAGGGATTTAGGTTATATGCATTGACGACCAGATTATATTAACATAGTGTGATTTTTTTTGATTTTGACTAGGGGGAGTGACATCGATGCCTAAATTTTTGGAGAAGTTTTTCCCAGATGTATATGCAAAGGAAGTATTGCATACAGTGTCAACTAACCAGTACTGCAAATTTAACAGCTCGAAATTGACACTGTTTACTTCTTCTTTATATTTGGCTGCGCTTGTTGCATCTTGGTTTGCTTCAGCTGTAACTAGACATATGGGTCGAAGATTGTCTATGCTTTTTGGAGGACTTCTTTTTTGCGGTGGTGCTTGTATTAATGGATTTGCCCAAAATGTGACTATGCTCATTATTGGTAGAGTTCTTCTTGGTTGTGGTATTGGTTTCGCCAATCAGGTACGTACATTTTTTTCTTATAAATATGCCTTCTTCTTCTTTTTTATAGTCGGGATTCAAGTTTTTCATTTTATGAAGTAAAAATGTGATTTGTCTTAAAATGTTTAGAGGTATTATATTGCATGTAATTAATATGTGAAACGACTGCCATATTTTGTTTTCTTAATTTCTGATTTGAGTATTTGTCTTTCAGATTTTTCAGAATTGTATCAATAATATTGGATTAGTTAATGTATCAATTATGTATAAAATCATATAGATCTGTATAGACTAAGATAGTAACAATTACAAAATATTTGAGATTTCCATTTTAATATAGTATGTCTTATGCAAATTAAGCACATTTTATGCGTACATTGATGATTGTTGTTTATCTTTTGACATTATTGATTATTAAATCATATAGATCTTAATCGTTTCTTTTTTAGTTTTGTTTCTGATTTTAAGTTATTTGACTTTTAGATTTACCAATAATTATTTAATAAAATTAGAATAAGTCCATGTAACGATACAAAATGATACAAAATCAGTATAAATATTTTATATACATCACAATTTAGAAGTACCCGATGATCTTTCTTTGTCCTCTCACATTATGCTTGTATATATACATTATTATGCTTTTAATCTAAATTTCCAACATTGACGATGTAATTCTTTTTGCAGTCTGTGCCAGTGTACCTTTCAGAGATGGCACCATTTAAAAGCCGTGGTGCATTAAACATTATGTTTCAAATGTCCATCACAATTGGAATTCTTGCAGCAAATTTGATCAATTATTTCACCGCGAAGATAAAAGATGGATGGCGTTACAGTTTAGGAGGAGCAGTGGTACCAGCCATTATATTCATCGTTGGTTCACTTTGTTTACCTGATACTCCAAATTCTCTAATTGAACGTGGCAATAAGGAAGAAGCGAAAAGGAGGCTTCAGATAATAAGAGGAATTGAAAATGTGGACGAAGAGTTTTATGATTTGGTTGAAGCAAGTGAAAGATCAAAGGAAGTTAAGCATCCTTGGAGTAATATTCTTGAACCAAAGCATAGGCCACAACTGACATTTGCTATGCTTATTCCCGCATTTCAGCAGTTAACTGGGATGAATGTTATCATGTTTTATGCACCTGTTCTTTTTAAGACAATTGGTTTTGGCGATACTGCTTCACTTATGTCTGCTGTGATAACTGGTGGTGTCAACTTTATGGCCACATTTGTTTCTATTCTTGCTGTTGATAGGGTTGGTAGGAGATTTCTCTTTATTGAAGGTGGTTTACAAATGTTGATTTGTCAGGTATAATTACTACACTAGTAATTATATTAACTTTTTGTGTGCATCATACTGTAATTTTTAACTTATGGACTATATTTTCAATCCTATGTAACAACATTTGTTATGTTTTCTCTGTGTTTTTGGTTCAGATTGTTATAGCAGTTTCTATTGCACTCAAATTTGGGACAAGTGGTAATCCAGGGGAATTGCCAATATGGTATGCATCTTTTGTAGTGCTGTTCATCTGCATATACGTTGCTGGTTTTGCATGGTCGTGGGGACCTCTAGGATGGTTGGTTCCAAGTGAAATTTTCCCTCTAGAAGTTCGATCAGCCGGCCAGGCAGTCAATGTGTCAGTCAACATGATTTTCACTTTCTTCATTGCCGAAATTTTCACAGAAATGTTATGTGTCTTCAAGTTTGGTCTCTTCATATTCTTTGCTGTTTTTGTTTTTATTATGACCTTATTCATCTACAACTTCCTTCCCGAGACTAAGGGGATTCCTATTGATGAGATGAGTAAGATTTGGAGTAAGCATTGGTATTGGCAAAAATATGTTCCAAATGATGATCCTCTTCCTCCTCAATCACCACCAAGAAAGTTACATTCACCTGTTAAAGAACACAATATTCAGATGGTCGTGGATGAGAAAGAAGCTTAGAGCAAGGAGATTAGTTAGGTTTAATTTCTTATGAAGTTTTAGTGAATAATTTGATGAAACATTTTTAAAGTTTTGTTAGTTTAGTCTCTCGGTTTCGGTAAAATGAGTATTTTTGTGGTTAAATGTGAATTTTAGAGTCTTAGTTTCAGCCCACTATTCTCTCATTTTGTTATATTAGCTTTGTTTTCTCTTTTTTCATGGCATCAAATCTTTCTCAAAATGTTTCTTAATTATCGCAATCTTTTAGATAGAGCCCAAAATGTGAGATTTTTTTTGGCTTTATCTCCACCTTATTTCCCTCATCCTCTAATGAAAGTACTATTATATCATTTTTACCTGTTCTCTTTTATTTGGTCGTTTTTCCTCACTATGTATATCCACCTCTTTGTTGCCTTCTTTATAATTACTTTAACAATTCTTATGCAAACAATTTTTCTATCAAGGAAAGTTTAACTGGTCTGCATAATCATAAGTTAGAAGACTCTCTTTTTAAGTCTTTCAACTAAATCTTTACAAGACATGATAGATAGCACGATAAAATGGAGACGAGAAATATTGGTGTGAATTTTCTAACATCTAGAAAACTCTAGGTATAGTATAAAAGCTAGAAAATTCTGTAACTTTTTCTGCTGTTTGGCATGGCAAAATGCTCTTGGAAATTCAGAAGAGTTGAAGACTAGTTAAAGAAATTGTATTATAATTGAGTAATGGTAGTGGAGTAGTCCCAAAAGTCGTCTAACCTTATAAATTCTTTGTTATTAGTATATCAAATTAAAGTAGTGGCAAGTCAAAATTTCCTAAGTCAAGGGTAACGTTTTCATGAAATTGAAGTTTGTGAACTTTTTAGTATTAAAAGAAAATTCGTTGCATGCTTGTTGATAAGCATTCAAATGCAGTTAGGTTATTTCTTCACACTAGGATAGAACCAGGGGTAGAGCTAGTAGGAGGAAGGGGTTCACGATTTGAACATTAGATACAGATTCATCATTTGAATATTATGAGTTCGAGTTTGGAATTCTACCATTATTCATTTAATTCACTAGATTTGAAATCTATTATTTTGTATTGTTTAGTAATTTTTGAGTCAAAGTTATTGAGTTCGAATAAACACCATATGTACATACTATATCCGCCCCTAGTATAAGTAGAGTAAAAATATATTTTTTGGTTAATGTAGTAAGCATATAAATTATTCCCTCTGTTTCAACTTATGTGAACCTATTTGACTGGGCATGGAGTTTAAGAAAAAAGAGAAGACTTTTGAACTTGTGATGTAAAATGAGACACATATATGTGGCTATAAATCATTGCATAAAGGTAAATTGTTTCCAAATAAGAAAAAAGGTCATTTATTTTTGCATGGACTAAAAAGGAAACGGAGGGAGTACGTTTTTGTTTACCTTTTAGACGCCTATGAACAAGAAATTGTGTCGGTACTTTGTACAGTATAATAACATGTCATGATACTAATGTTCATTTACACGCACGAGAACACTGTATTTGTTGTATTCAAATGTTTGTCTATTTTCTTCGACCTAAGCCTAAGACAAGACAAAGTATAATCGTTTCTTTATTTTTCTCAGCATATTTTAGTAATTTTCTATTCAAATTTTTGCCACTGGTGGTTGAAGATTTTTTCACGAGTCACAGACAATGTATTTAGACAAAAGTGGACAAGTGTATAGTAAGTAATAGACAAAAGAGGGGACAAAGATTGGCAGCTAATTAAAATTTAGTTAAATTAATTGAAGGACGTCCTAACCAACCAATCTAGAGTTATCTTTGTATCATCCCTTTACATTTTCCTATATATATTTGGAATAAAGTCGTGTAGTTTCTTTTAGCACAACTGTTTTTATTGATTTCTTATTTATTTTGTTAAGGATTCTTCTGGTTAGCTTGTGCACAATGACAATTTTACCGGACAACTATTACCTTTTACTAGCACAGATATTAAATAATTCTACCGATAAATATTTTCTTAATTGGTTTTAACTTCTTCCTTTCATATTTACTTTACAAGTTTCACTAATTTAGGTAGTGCAAGAAAATCTTGCACTATCATGTCAATTGCGAAAGTTAATTACATGTACTTTTTCCAAAAATCATGAGTTGATGACCTACAAAAAAATATAAACCTGTTTCAGAAAATAAAAATCACTTAATAATATAATTTGTTTACGTTGTTTGTATATATAAACGAATTAACTCCTTTACGCTGTCCGCATTAGCAATTGTTTTTCTTTCGAGTCGTGAAAACAGTCACTAATGTGTTATCCCTTGAGATACGGTCATTTCTTAAATCCTACGTGAACGCGGGATACCTTGTACACTGAGTTGTACTTTTTTCCGTGGTATGCCTAGCTGACTTGTTTTCCCTATAGTTCTCCATAAGCTTGATAGCATATAAATTCCTTCTTCCATCTCTCTCGGCAGTTTTTAGAATCCATTACTGAAACAAATTGGTTGTATTTTTCACAAACATAAATATAGTGATAAATCTTACTCCTATTAATTAGCTGGAGAGTTGAGCTGTTTTGGCAATATTCATGCGTTGTATTAATTCACAAACTGAAACGGCAGGCTTTGAATTGCCTCTGCCTCTCAATTCACAGTCAAATCCATTTTTAATAGTGGCTGTAAATGACCGTCCAACAGTTTCTCTATTTGTCTCTTTCCACACATACCCTAAACAATGTTATCCAAGGTAAGTGCCCACAAAACAGAAATAAAAGGGGGTGTTTTTATTTTAGCCCTTACCAAAAACTAGTTATATTTGATAGCTTAAAAAGTGTATAATTTTTATATATAACATACAAATTGTATATGTATACAAAAAATATATTTTTTTTGATTATTATTTTGAGAGCGACTATACTGTGTCATTTCATCGAAATAGTAGTATTCCCTACACACAGACAAAAACTTTCTACCAAAAACAATACAAAAAAATAACCCATTTAACGTTAAAAGACCAACTATGTTGTCAACATTCACTGTCTTTTTTTGTTCAAGGCTCAAAGACATGGATTTAGTGTAAATTTTTCTCATCTTTCTATGTATTTGATTTGAGCAGGCCAAATAGTGACATATATATAGTCAATAGATAGTCGGTTCTATAAAAGACACTTTCCAAAAGAATCATTCAAAATCGTTGAGTTGGAAAATTTTGGAGGCTCTATTTGCAAACAACTAGTCAACCAAAATATTTTTTCCTCAAAAGAAACAAAGAAAATTTCCAAATTCGCGCCCTTATAAAAAGCCAACACAAACTCATATAAACTCCTTAAAACCCTTTCTCCCTCCCTCAAAAACCCTTAAACTTTTTTTTACCTCCTTTTTGAAAATTCATATACACAATTTCTTTTGTTAAATATGTTGAGTCCATTGATTTCTGAAAATACAACAATAGAAGACCAAAAGGAACAGATCAATAATATTCCTAGCCAAAAAAATAATCTAACTCTTGCAATTTTAGAAGTCAAATGCATAGCCAATATTGCATTTCCAGTGATATTCACAGGTTTACTTCTCTACTCTCGTTCAATGATTTCCATGATCTTCCTTGGCCGCCTCGGCGAGCTTTCTTTAGCCGGCGGTTCGCTCGCTATCGGATTTGCAAATATAACCGGTTATTCCATTCTTTCTGGTCTAGCCATGGGAATGGAACCAATTTGTGGACAAGCTTTTGGTGCAAAAAGATTCAAGCTTTTAGGCCTAACGTTGCAAAGGACAATTCTTTTGCTACTTTTAACCTCAATTCCAATTTCATTCTTGTGGTTATACATGAAAAGACTCTTGATATTATGTGGCCAAAATCATAATATTGCCTCAGAAGCTCAAAATTACATTCTTTATTCACTTCCTGATCTTTTAACTCAGTCATTTTTACATCCTCTTAGGATTTATCTACGTTCACAATCAATAACATTGCCTCTAACTTATTGTGCTGCTTTTGCTATTCTTATTCATATCCCAATCAATTATTTTCTTGTTATAGTTCTTAATCTTGGAATTAAAGGGGTATCTTTAAGTGGGGTTTGGACTAATTTCAATCTTGTTGGCTCATTAATTCTTTATATTTTAGTTTCTAAGGTGCACAAAAAAACTTGGAATGGAATTTCCTCAGAGTGTTTAAAGGGATGGAAATCACTTCTCAATTTAGCAATTCCAAGTTGTATTAGTGTTTGCTTAGAGTGGTGGTGGTACGAAATCATGATTTTATTATGTGGGCTTTTAATAAATCCTCAAGCTACAGTTGCTTCAATGGGAATCTTGATTCAAACAACAGCTTTGATATATATTTTCCCATCTTCTTTGAGTTTTGGTGTATCAACAAGAGTTGGAAATGAATTAGGAGCTAATCGTCCGAATCGCGCTAAATTAGCAGCCATAATTGGACTATGTTCAAGCTTTATTTTAGGAGTTTTAGCATTATTTTTTGCTACTATGGTAAGAAATATTTGGGCAAGAATATTTACTCTAGACCAAGAAATTGTGGCATTAACAGCTATGGTTTTGCCAATTATAGGACTCTGTGAACTTGGGAACTGTCCGCAGACAACAGGTTGTGGTGTATTAAGAGGAACAGCGCGTCCTAAATTAGGTGCTAATATTAATTTAGGATGTTTTTATCTTGTTGGAATGCCAGTTGCTATTTGGTTAGGATTTTTTATGGGGTATGATTTTAGAGGATTATGGCTGGGATTATTAGCTGCTCAAGCTTCATGTGCAGTGACTATGATGTTAATAATATTGGCAAAAACTAATTGGGAAGATCAAGCAAGAAGAGCAAAAGAACTTACTGCAATTATTAATGGTGATTATGAAAATGAAGATGAAAAATTCATTGATGAAAAGGCAGAGGATTATTTGGATTTATCAGATTATCAGAAGCTAGAGAATTCAGCTGTTTGAATTTTTTTTTCAATTTTTGGATTATTAATTCTTTTCTTTTTGAAGGGGAGTCTTGGAGCAATGATCAAGTTGTCTCCGTCTGAGCTATAATGTTTGTATCAGGGTAGGCTGCCTACATCACATCCCTTGGGGTGCTACCCTTTTTCGAATCCCATATAAATGCGAGATGTTTTGACCACCGGACAACCCTAATTCTTTTTTTTTTCATTTTCTTTTTATATTCCATTTCTT